TAAATTTAAATGTTAGCAAAAAAAATTTTTTAATAATGGTTTTTTGCTTATTAATACTACCCATTTGGTTAGCCTTAGTAATCAAAAATAGCCTGCTCATTTCTCTCAAGAATATTTGATGATAAGTCCGACAAAGAATAAAATTGCTTATTTGGCTTAAATCTGCAGCATTGCTAGACGTCTTTAATTTTAATTTCACTTTTAAATCCTAGGCTTATAACAATATGGAGTATAAAGATTTGATCATTGAATAAGTCTAAAAATATGAATTTATAAAAAAACAAAAATAAGGGACATTTTGATTTCCTTGAATTTAGTGTTTTTGATTGGTGTAATTGTTTGTTGGCTAATAACAGATTTATGCAATGCTCGACACTTTAATTTTCAATTTAGCTTTTAAATTATGCTGTTCTTTAATCATAATTAGTTCTGTAGCCTAGTCTATTGGTTGATTTTAACTGATAATTCATTGAGATTTAGTGACATGATCGGATAATCGTCGTCAAATTTGCTTTTATTGGATCAATTATCTTATCATTGATGATAAAAGTATGTATACTTTTACAAAGGTTTAATTCAAAAAAAAAAAAGAAAATGACATTGAGGTCACCGATCATTTTATTTCTGAAAAATTTTTGAAAATCTTCAAAAAAAAATGAAAGTGAAAATTTTAAAAAAGAGCAAATTTATTTCACTATTAAATTTGGAAAAAAAAGACAAATTGATCATTTTATTTCTAAAAAATCTTTTAAATCTTTAAAATTTTCAGAAAAAAATAAAGATAGCAGATAATATACTAAGGAAAGAACAAATTCATTCGATTATTAAATTCTAAAAACAGAAAAACAAATTATAGGTTTAATCTTTAGCGATTAAAACTAACGAAGAGGAGACAATGATTGAAGTAAAAAAGTGTTGAAGAATGATAGAAATGTCATTGTAACAGTTAAATAATGACGGTTTCGTTTGGCTTAAAATTAATTTGTAATTAATATATTTGGTAATTAACAGATTATCATCAAATAATTTGAATAGGCAATATTTTCAAATGGACGAAAATATTCATTATTGGATAGTATATTTACTTTTTTGTCATTTCAATTTCTATAATTAAATTTGTAACATTTCAGTGGTTACATTTATTTCAAGAATTACTGTCTGAAATTCAAATTGGTTAAGCTCACAACCATCTCTTACCGTTTGCAGCAAATACTTAAAGTATTAATGGCAAACTTGTTGATATATCGAATAATAAGAGTAATATTTGTATGCATATTTGATATAAACATTTAAAATTTAGCAGCATGAATTTTTTTTTTTGTAAATTTTAAAATGTCATGGTTTTTATAAGATTAGCAAAAGTGTAGTGCTCAAATATTGTTATTTGGAATTTTTTCAAAAATTTCTCCAGTTTAAATTTAAATTTCAAGTTAAGATGGATTTTTTTTAACTAGCAAATTAGCGTAATGTATTTGACGAGCAAACTGATGTAATACAATTGTTCGTTATTCATTTTAACATAAACGAATAACACTATCCATTATCGTTTACCTTAATTTATTTTTGATTACTAATAAATTCACAAGTAACTGTTATTTGATTATTTGTTTTATCGATATTATAGATGCTATTGCTTGGTCAATCTGACCTTTGACTTCAACCAATGTAGACAATGATTAAAGCTTTGTTTTTACAACAGTTACGTGATTTTGCGCGAAACTATTTCAATAATTCAATAATTTACTTAGCATCAAATGACAAATTCCAACAATATTTAAAGCAATAATTAAATGCGCAAAAAAATTTATGCTCAACAATTTGCGTTTATTACGATAAAACAATTCGTTTTTTATAGATCATGAAATATTTCAAATCAAAATTTTTGAAGTTACACAATTCATATTTTTCAGCCAAAATTGAAAAATTCATTTCATTATTATCAAACTTACCGATTGAAGTTAGTATGAACTCATTGTAAGCTCAATTTCGAAATACTGAAGCTTTATTAGTTACGTTTCATTAAAAGTTTTAATGACCAAATGAAAGAAGCCTCGCAATAGTCTTTCCAATAGTAATTTTTTTCAATTGTATAATTATTAATTAGCTTTTTTAACCGTATAATTATTAATTTAATCCTATAATTATTAATAATATCTTATTATGTCAATAATAACTTGTTTAAAATCTATACTGCTCAAAATTTTAAATCGTCAAATTAATTCCTCCAACCTATCCTCGTTCTGCAAATGAATAAATTGTTAAAAGGTCATAGTGCATTCCTTTTTCTCTCATACATTTTGGAATGTATACTTTAATCCAAATTAGATTATACGATTTATATTTGGAATATATCTGTTAGCAATTTCAATGTTTGCAAAATCGATTCAATCTAAATATACATCAGAAATCTATTGTATTTGCACAGCTGAATAAATATTTTGAAGAATCATCCATTCATCAATAACAATGAAGATTTTCATGCAGTATATATTTTAAAAAAATTTTAAATGTTAAGATTTCTCTCGAAGATATATTTGTTTTATCATTTTCATATTGTGATCAAATGTTTGATGATCTTTTTGAATTTCTCCAAAACAAAAAAAAAAAGTAACCTTGATCTTTTTTTGATTTTTGCAGTTAATAAATTATTTTAAAAAACATTGTTGCGATTTTATTTCAATAATTTATTTGACAATTATAGAGGCGTAGAGTCAGATTTGTGTAGTTTTTTTTTTCAGATCTTTGCTTAAATACTTCTAAAGTTAGCTAACTAATATCTGAGAGTAGCCGCATATATAATTATATAAAATAGAAGTAATGATGATAATAAATTTTACTTCATCGACAAGTTTTATTAATCTTACCTTATCATTTATTTGCCGCACCTATAATTATAGTAATACGGATAATAAATTTTACTTTATCAACAAGTTTTATCAATCTTATTTTATCATTTATTGTGCATTATTAGATAAAAGAAAATCGGTAGCTGTAAATGAAAGTAATAATTCTTACAATTGTAAATTTTTATTTTTAACTCATTTAAATAGTATATTTTTAATTTTTACTCAACAAATTCATTAGAACAAGTTATTGATAGTGTTCATGTGATGTATGATATTATTGTGACAAGAATCGTGAACAGATCAACTGATATGAATAAAACGTGAACCGAGACACGGATGTAGGAAGTATTTGTTTTGGCATATAAAATTTTCGCCAAACAATGCAAACTAAATCGTTTGATTGATTGGTTCTAATTGATTGTGTACATTCGATAATCTATGCATAATATCAATCAAAAGGGAAAATTTAAATTGAATTCAAATGATTCATTTGCTTTTCCATTTCTTCTCTTTTAACATTACTAAAAATATGCTTATCCCTATTTTTGCCTCAATAAAAAAATGAACATTTTTTTCATTAATTGGTTCCTTTTTTTTTCCTCCTTTAAACTTTTTTGCAAAATGCATCACATTTGCTTAGAGTAAAATAAATTTTGCTAAAATTTTGCCAAAAGAAAGGAATGAAATGTGAATTAGCTATCATTGCTCTAAATTTCGAAAATTTCAATGAATCCGCAAATTTAACAGTATTTACGAGATAATTTCGCATCGTTACTAATATTTGCTACAAAATCAAATTTAACAGTTTGAATTCATTTCTGTTTTTCCATCAATAATATATGCCTTTGCAATTTAGATCGGCTGTTAAAATGCGAATATTATTGGGTGAACAAATTGGACACACATTTGGAACAAATTTCAAATTAATTATCTTTTATTCTTTTTGAATAAAATGTTGAAACAGTATGCGATATTCTTAATAACTGCTTTCGCAGCAGTAACTCTATTTCTAGCTGGAGAATTTAAAACTGATTATTCATCATTAATAAGGGTTAGAGTTGTGAAGATATTTTTGATAGAGAAATAATTGTAATAAATGAAAAATTTTGTTTGTCGAATTTTAAAGTTTTTTATAAAAAAAAAAAACAACTTTTTTCAGTTTACGGAAATGAATAAAAGCGAAGAAGTACGAGTGAAATTAGTGAAAAACAGAAGCATATGCGTTATGCTTGAACGATTAAATAATGCTAGCATTAAAGTAAATGTTAAGAATCAAATAATTATCTCAAGTATTAAGAATCAAAAAAAAAATTAAGGATCAAATAATCATTTCAAATATTTCAGCATATTTAAAATAGTCACACAATATTATTAATTGCTAAATTGCCGCTCATTGCTCATTCAATTATTTCAATCATGATGCAACTCAATGATTTTTTAAAAATTTTAGAAAATAGCAAATTTAATAATTCCAACAGTAAAGCATAAATCGCATTCATTTAAATTATATATTTAAATTATGAGAAAATTTAGGCTATTTTAATGAAAATGTTCATAGGTCAGAGGACACAACATTCAGGTGATAAAAAATAAACGAAATACTACAAAACACTTAGATGTATTCGTTGTTTTGCATTCTCATGTTGATGCCGGTTGGTTGTACACATTTGAGGAATATTACAGTGCTACGAATCATTCGGTATGTTAAAAATTTTGCAATCGTAAATGAATCACTCATAAACTCTTTATAACATTGTAATAATTTTCATTTTTTTTTTCTCAGCAAAAATTTATGATCTGATCATTTTTGTTTGAATTTTAAAATTTGGAATATCTAATTTTTTATCATGCCTTATTATGATCATACTGATCAAAATTTTAATTTTGAAATTCTAAATTTATTATATTTTAGGTGCGAAAAATTTTAAACAATGTAGTGAATTCATTGCGAAAACATTCTAAACTACGATTTATCTGGTCCGAAATATCATTCTTGGAAAAATGGTGGTCTGAAGCTAATACAACCTATCAAAAATATTTTAAAAGGTTTGCCTCCCAAATACGTATCAAAAAAAAAAATGAAATATGAGAAATGATTGAAATAATCAAATTTTAATTCATTCATTAAATTTATCATTTTTTTTTCTCTATAGATTAATAGATGAAGGTCGCCTAGAAATTACTAGCGGTCAATGGGTGATGAATGATGAAGCAACACCGTATTTTTGGGAAGCTATTGAAAATATCATTGTTGGACATCAATACATTAAGGAAATATTGAATATTACACCAACTAATTCATGGTAATTCATTTTCTTTTTAAGCATATAGCTTATCAAAATTTTTACTCCAAAAAATCTTCTAATCATCATTTTTATCAATTCTAACCAATGGTTAGAAAAAAAAGATTACACACATTCCGAAGTGATTTTTTTGAAAGGTTTTTTTGCTAGATGCTTTTATGTGAATTTTATGGTAATATTACAGTTAAGCAATGTTAAAACATAGCAATATTGATTCATTCATTTATTGCACTCTAATAAAACATTCGACAAAAATGAAACGAATTTTAATGCTAATTGATTACAATTTAATTATTGCACTAGTTTTCTGGATGATACAATAAATTAAATGCAAAGAAATGTAACATTATAAGGAATAAAATGAAGAATGGGAATGTATGTATAGGTCAGTGGATCCGTTCGGACATGGACTTATGATGCCATATCTGATGATGTTATCCGATATCAACCAGCTAATAATTGGTCGTATCAATTCAAATATCAAAAATATTCTAAAGTTTTATCATCAGTTACACTTTCGTTGGGCACAAAATTGGGATCCGGTAAAAAAAAATTATTTCGTGTTTTTTTTTTTTTTTTTTGTATTTTTAAAGGAAAAGAAATGAAGAAAGAGGAAAAGTTAAAGGGAAAGGAAATTTATGCATGGAATTGAATTTCACATTATACTAATGATTAATATAGATTATTGATTTCTCCATAAATGAAAGTCAATATATTTCAATTCATTATTGATATTTCGAGAATATTTCCATATTGGCTCATTTAATTGGAAATTATAGCAACTTCGTTGGGCTCCATTTGTTAACGTATTACCAAGCGTATATTACACGGTAAGTAGTGCATGTGGAACGGATGAAAAGATTTGTTGCCAATTTGATGTTTCCAAGACATCTCGATCATATTGCATGGAACGAGCTCAAGTTGACAATTTTCAACAAATTGCATTATAGTACATTTTTACTATTTATCCATTCCGTTCTTCCACTTTTTCCTCTTTTTCCTCTTCTTTCTTTTTCCCTCATACAGTGAAAAGTTGCATTTGAATCAAGAAAGAGAAAATTTTAAGAAATTGAATGAAATTGAAATTTGGAATTTGTAGTGGTGAACGAATGGCAAATCAATATCGCTCATTGCAAACATTTTATAATTCAGAAGCAGTCTTAGTAGCTGCAGGCGATGATTTCCTCTATTCACATCCCGATGATTTGGAAACTGTTCATCGTGTTTATACTGCACTTTTCAAATATATCAATAGAAATTATAATCGCTTTAAAATGAAGGTTAATTACCAGAGTTGAAATTTTGAAATATTAACTCTGAAACAGTTTCGTTTAAATGCGCTAATATTTTTTGTTCAGGAAGTATTAATAATTAATAATACAGGCGAAAAAAAAAAAAGCAACTCTCTTGTATTTATTAATAATTCAATCATTGATTAATTATTATTACTAACAGAGTAATTGTTAATTAATTTAATAAATTAATTAGGATTAATTAAACTTTAAGGTGCAATTTGGTACGGTAGCAAATTATTTCAATGCACTAAAAAGAAGCACGAAAAGAGCAGCTTCTGTGCTTGATGGTGATTTTTTTCCGTATATGGATAATCCGTTGAGTAGTACACCGTATTGGACTGGCTTCTATAATCATCGAGCATATTTTAAGTGCTTCGAAAG